GAAGCATGTGCTTTGCACAGAACGGCACTGCGGAGCGAAATCTAAATGTTCGACCGTTTGACCGACAGAGTCCCCGCTCTGTTTTGATCCGCAGCAGGCCATCATCAACGCGCTAGTGCTTTGCCCATTCGTCACTGTGGAAGTTGGCAATATTAGGAAATAAATGGGTGTCAAAACCACAAGTGTCACGCAGTTTCTAGAGAAAGTAGTAAAGCGCTACAGACAGGAGCTGTAGCGCTGCCCCCTAGTGGGATGTTGAGGTGTCGCGACAGGGCGTTGGTGACCTGCCTCGCGGTGACCTTAATTTACTTTAGTGCAAAATTGTATCGTAGGAGGCACCCAAGCCAGCGACCAACTATACGATTTTGAAAGCTCTAAATTGTCATGTAATAAGACTGGTTAGGGGTCTTGATAGTGACCCGACCCCCATGGATGTAGTCCCATAATTTTTTCCACGCCCTACCACAATGCGTTGGGTTTCTTTTCTCCTTCCTGCATACCGCTGCTCAGTTCCGGTAAAGCGAAATAATGCTTTAGTGCGTTAGTGAGCCCTTAGCCTCTTAGTAGAGAGTTACACCCACATTAAGTCACCAGAATTAGTTGTCAGAAGTCAATGACGCTCGTACAACTCGGCTGCCGGAGGAGCTGTAAGGCGATTCATCAGCGTCCTTGTTGCGCCTTCAGCCCCGGATGTCCAGGCCATGCACTGCGTTTACTGAAGGAGAGCAATCAAAAGGGCAACCATCGGAGCGAATCAAAGAATGAAATTTCGGTAGTCACCTGCAGACCCGCCCACTTCCATGTGGGTGCGTAAAGGTCAAGGCCATTGCTCAATTGTATAAACATTTGCCGGATCTGCTTCCGTTCCTCCAGCAGAACATGGACTTTCCAAACCCAGTTGCTCTCAAGAAAAAAGAGCAATGAACCGCACTTGGGTGCCCTCTAATGTTCAGACTTCTAAGAAGTCTACCATGCATGGAGCCATCCACCCCTCCTTGATAGGCTCACAAACTTCCTGGTTATCTTGCACCTTTAGTCCAGCTAGAATACTAAGATGTCCATTCAGCATACACATATACTCGAGTTTCCGACTGCGAATGTGGAACGGCGTTTCGTGCTTGCAATCAGTGTGAATGGAACTTTGTAAGCAGCGTCTGTGAAGGCAACCATCAATTACTTTGTAGAGTACTTCATCGAGGCACCAGTGACTTTGCTTTAACAGTAGTGTTGTTTAGGTACTTAGCGTTAACGTGTTATCGCGACGTTTCGTCCCTTTGATGTATCAGTAGTGGGTTTCGTCCCACAGCGCTGCTGGAACTCCTGCACTTTGTCGTTATTTAACAAATCATCTGGCTCTCCGTCTCCTCGTCATGCTTCGTGGGCTTTGGATGCACCAGAACATAGCTTGGGTCAGACTTGGAAATCAGCACAACACGGTGCACTGGAGCGCTGACAGGGGAAAGGCCGCTGACAGCTCCTTATTATTAACCACATTTGCAAAATCTTTCCTGCCACATGCCCACTTCTGCTGTTCCTCGGCTGAAAGTTCGATTGACTTACCTGAAGAAAAACTACTTGCAAAGCAAGAAAGAAGGGACGGATGAGCAGAAATGGCCCCCCTTCACTGCAGTGCTGAGCCGCCCACATGAAAACTGTGTCTGGCCTTGTTAGGATACCGCCTAATCTGCTTATCATGAGTGGAATCACCATTCTTAAGAAGACGACATGCAGCTTCTTCCTCGTGCTTTCTGGTACACTGGCTCCTACAGCGCGAGATTGTGGCCGCATGGCGCCTGTCACTGGGCAACATATGGGATACCCAGGATTACGCCATGGTGCACGACTCCAACGCAAAAGCCAAAGATCAGGCTCATATGGCTCAATTTCTATTAAATTGGCATTTAGCTGCCAAAGCCGTAACAGAACTTGTGTTCTGCCGCCCCTTTGCAAACGTGAGTCTTATGGACTGAGCTAAAGAGTGAGCAGGCGGGCTACGCTGGTGCATCGCCTCCTGCGATAACGACTCCACTTCACGTGTAGTGCCAACTATTGCTGGCAACTCTTGACGATTCATGAAAAGCTTGTATCGGCGCAGAATCGACCCCTGGTGGGTTCGCAACTGCGGCTTTATCTTCTGTCGTCCCATTCACTGCAGCGCAGCCTGCGCCGAGTCCTTGTCAATTCCCCCATTCACCTTGTTTGCTTGCCGAGCATATTGCTTTTGCTGGGCCTAGTCCCATTGTTTAAAGTTCTTTGGCTGTTTGCATGCGTTTGCAAGATTCGAATTGCATGAGCCGATATTCCACCGATGCGCTATTGGATGGTTTTCTGAAGCTGCCTTGAAGCGCGGGTTTCCTGGCATTCTTCTATGGCTCGCCTTAGACAGCATACTGCGGCTAGTTAACACAGCCCATATGTCCCTATGTTTTAATTCACGATGGGGCTCTTTTCTTTCAGCTAAAACGGTAGCCGGCAAATCTACAGTTCAGCACCCTTTGTTGCACTAGCTTATTCAAGTGGGCTGGTCAAAAATCGGCTAGTTGGATTGTTGTTCGTATATTTTGTTCGTTGCAAAGTAGTGCTAGCTCGACGCATGAAAAAGCTATGTTCCGTGCGTATGTAGAAGGTGCTGCGCACATAGCTGTAAATGCTCGTATTGTTTGGAGGGTGTAACGCCCGCCCTATTTGTCTTTTTATCCATAGCCTGGTAGCTTCGAGGCGCATGGGCAGGGAATGGAAATAATCAAGTGATTGGACAAGCCCAATCACCCTCTTTAAAAGTTGGACTGATTCTGGTGTCTCCATACGGAGACATTAGAAAGCATGTTCCAAATATCAAATAATCACTCCTAGAACCTCAAGAAGTCCATTATCTGCGGAATGGCCGGCTGAATGTGCTTCGATCGCTGCGCGGCTGACCACCCTGCGGCCGCCTGATGGGGCACTCTAAGTACTCACTATCTGCAAAACAGCACTTTGTCTGGGTCGTGGCTTTTGTGGACCGAAGGTATATTTTTCGATATACTCTCTATTGATAAACGACCGTGCTGCAGCTTGTTTGATTCCCTCAAGGCTTGCTGTTGAGCTGATCTCGGCACAAACCGATGTTTTAGGGCGTGCATGAAATGAAGGCTTGAAGTATAGTGAGTGCAAGTACTTGACTGCCCCTTCCATGAATTAAGCCACCATTGGAGTACTTCTCCCTTCAATACACCTGCTGCCAGGAGTGGTCGTTTCTCCTCAACTCCGGGGTACACAGCAAGGTACATCGTCAACCTGCTGATGAAATCTTCGAGCACTTGCCCTTTCATACGGCCGTCATTCTTTTATCGTCTGCATAACTTCATCGACTAATCCATACCCAATTAGCTGCTTACAGAGTATGCTTTTCTATCAGCTGTAGATACTACATTCACATCGGCTTGCGAACCTGCATCTACCGCCGCAGCAGGAGCTCTGCCAGCACTGCAGAGGATTCTTTTTGCCAGCCGGTTGCCAAAGAAATTTGAGTTGTTAAATTACGAAATGAATCAATCAAAAACGGAAAGATGTCGCATAATTCCTGACTTCGCACTGCATTCTCAATCAACGGATGAGCGGCGAAAAGCAGCTGCATCGAAGCATGTGGTGCTACCAACTGTAACGCTCCAACGAGGGGCTTTCTCAGGAGACACTTGACATAAGACTAGAGATAAACTCAATAAAAAAGTGTCTCTCCCAGAAGGGCCCCCTCATGTCCCCGCTCGCACCCCTCATAGTCCCCAACATGGTGGGAAAGGGTCAGCTACGGTGCGCGTTGCTGCACCTCTCTGAGCACTCTTAGCATTCGCAGCTGGTTGCACACACCATCTAGCCAACACGCACGCAGCATTGTGTCTTCTTGTGTTGAGCTAGCACTACTCTAGAAGTAACAATACATACTAGCATCAAAGCCTATGCGTCAACTATTCACTAATTCTTATTTAAATACACTGGTTTGGTACAAGGTGATTAGTATAGCTTCGCCGGCCATAGAAAAAAAGCAGCTTTGGAATCCCCCAGTAGCTGCCTATTAGGCTTGTAATGAGTCCAGACTTTGGTTTTTTCGTAGGGGGATCTAAGATGGGAACGGTTCAGTCCTTGCTCAGTATAAACCTGTGCCGAACAAGGAACTTTGGCTGACTCATTTTTTCGGGGTGCAGCACTTCCCTTATATCCAAACTGCCTAAAGCACGGGCCTACACTCTTCGAGCAATAGAGACACTGCAGTACAGCATGTTGCTTTTCTTCTTTCCTCGTGCCTCGGTGACCTGCGCATCCTCACCATTTGTTGAAGGGTGCAGTTGCGACTGTCGTTTCGTCTTGTTCAGCTAGACAGGCCTTCTTCAAAACTATAAGCCCTTCCGTTTGGGAGAAACGAGATTCATATTTGCGATTGGGAAGACAGGGGGAGTAGCAGACAAGCCCATTGGGGGCATCGCTGCTAGTGAGCGATTTAGGTGTCTGGGAGGACACCGTAGGAAACAGGCTGCGTTCGCTTGTTTTCTTGATTTCTGCTTATTATTTATTTACCGCTGCGGAGTTCCTACTATATAAGGAGTGAGAGGGCAATTAATTGTAATGTTTGCTAAATGCTAAAAAGGAAGCCTTTCTTCTTTCTCTGCGGGAAGAATGTGCATGTCCCACGTGCTGCTCTGGGGGCTGCCTGCGTGTGAAGCCGAGGTACCGGTGTTAGCGCAAGACCCCTCCCCCCTCTGCCTATATCTTATGCCGTCTTTAGTACCGTTACTAAATTAACTCAACTGGCCGACTCGCTGAAGGGCACGAGCTGTTCTTCTCCTCCTGCCACAGGGCCCCCTGGGGCGTACATACACCCCAAGGGCCCCTCGGGTGAACGCGCATCAAGAGGGCACTATAGAGTATTTTAGTGCATCTAAAAGGGCCCTGTCGGGCGGTACTTAATGGACAGAGGCTGGAAGCCGCATCAGGTCATTAGGGGGGCATCCCCTTCCACATGCAGCATGGGGCCTCCCGCAGCAGCGACGGGGGTGATCCTCTCCAGCCGAGAAGGCGTTGTGGCAGCGGCATGCTGCATAGGCAACCAGCTGGCGGATGTCTTGCCGCCTTTCGTTATGGGCGGGGCCCCCGACGATGGGGCGAAGGGGGAACGAGCCTCGCGCTCCTTCACGCGCAGCTTCCTGCGGCTGCAGCAGAAGTTTCACGGTCGAGCGGAGCAGCTCCAGGTGCAGCAGCAGCAGCAGCAGCAGCAGGAATCGACAGCGTGCAACGGCTCTGCGAGACCCCTGCATTGGCCGGAAGGGGACGCGGCACAAACTCCATCAAACGGGGAGTGCACGACAGTGGAAGGCGCTGACGACTTGAACATCGACGGCGTCATCTCTGCTTTGCTGGATCGCAGCCACGCAGGTTCCTCTCCCCCACCTGCAGCAACGGGAGCGGCACGTGCAGCAGCAGCAGCGCCAGAAGCAGCAGACAGGGCCGGCGAGTCGAAGCATTTCGCAGGAGTAGAGCCTCTTAGCAGCGAGCAGATACATCAACAACTGCGACTGCAGCTCTTGGCCACACGTTACTTGCAACAGGGGCGTCCCCCACCTCCCGCTCTAATGCATGCAATAGCGGCTGCCCTTCCCGACTCCGTGAGGGAGGAGATGATCACACGGCCTGCGTTGATGCTGCAGCTCGCGCAGCAACTCAAGATCCACTCGCGCGAGCACGTTCTGCAACAGCTAGACGAACGCAAGAGACTCCTAGAGTAAGGACGCAGGCCTGGCGTCATCTTATAGGATCATCCCTCCTGTCTGAGAGCACCGAATGGCTCTTCCTGCATGCATTTCCATCCTGTTTGCCTCGTCTTGCTCGTGCCTTGCTCGCCATTTCGCCAAGTTCCCCGCCTTCCCTCCAAGTCTCACCGTCGCTGTCTGTGGCTGCAGATCGATATCGACAGCTCTTCCATACGCTTCCCCTTCTTCCTCACCGTACTCGCTGGAGTGCCTCTGAGTGCTTGCTTGGTGCAAGAGGTCCTCCCTCCTTTGTAACTTCTCCCTTCTACCGTGACTGCGTGTGTTTGACGTGGGGAAGGCGCTGCTCCTCGAGCGAGCCGAACGAGCTCAAAGGGACTGTCTCCGCCTTCCTGCTGCATAAAGCAGGGAGGACAGCTGCCATGTGCCTGCTCACGACCTCATGCGCGTTTGCGCATGCTTCTATATGCGCTTCTGTGCATGCGCACGTCTTTGCCTCGTCCTGCGTTCAGCTGTGTGCTAAGTGAAGACCCCAAGATAAGAGAGCGCTTCAGCCAGATCTGCTATCTCCCGGATGATGTCAGACGGGTGGGTATGGTTGGCGATTGTCATGGCAACTTCCTATGAGGCCTCGCTCGCACATGGCGTCTTTGACAGTCGATATCTCTCTACGCCTCTCTGTGAAGCTGCATCTAACACCCCCTCAAGATCTTTGGCAGTGCCTCTCTCCATGACATGCCTGTCCTCATAGTTTGTCTCTCTCTCTCCATGACATGCCTCCATGCCTCTCTCCATGACTGCCTCTCTTCATAACATACCTCTCTTCATGACATACCTCTCTTCATAACATACCTCTCTCCATGACATACCTCTCTCTCTCTCCACGACATACCTCTCTCTCTCTCTCTCTCCATGACATGCCTCTCTCTCTCCATGGAACGATGAGCGGAGGGCTCCTTGCGCGGCTCTTGAGCCCCTTGCCTGCAGTCCTCGTCTCGAGTTGCATCTTTGAATATATATTTATGTATATACACACACACGTATATATATGTATATATTATCTGCCTCTCTCCGCCTGTTGATTCAATCGAAAGGCGTCTCCTTTTCGCTTGATCGGCTTACTCGTGCCTCCTCTGGCTAGCTTCTGAACGGCCCGCTCTGCTGTCTCTTTCCTTTCCCCAGACCCCCCTCCCCCCTCCCCCCCCGTCCTTCCCTCCCCTCATGCTCCGCTTTCTGCCGGCTGCTTGTTCTGTGCTGCCGTCGATGCATGCGCTGCAGCAAGCCCTGCTCGAACGGCGTCTCTGCAGCCTTTCCGCCTTTCAGCAGAGACTGAGGGGCAGCGTGCTGAAGGAGGCGCAGCAGCAGTCTATTCCGCTGGCTGAACTCTTGCTTGAGCCACAAGTGCCTCGCAGCCTTCAGGAGCAAGCCCTCTGCTGCGGCTGCTGTTGCATTTGCTGCTGCAAAAGTCGACACCCAGCTGCTGCAGCAGCAGCTGCTGCTGCAGACGATGGGGCAGCAAAGGCAGCTGCAGCGACTCCAACTGCAGCCACGAGCTCGGGGACACCCCCGAGGCCCCCGGGGCCCCTGGGGCCCCCGGGGCCCCCCCCCTGTTGTGGCTGCTGCTGCGAGAAGACGTGTGCCTCCTTCACAGGATCTCCCAGTACCGCAACTGCTGCTGCTGCTGCTGGTACACCCGCCACGCCGCAGCAGCAGGGTGCTGCAGCTCGTGCTGCTCTGTTTGCTGCCTTGGATCCTTTGGGGTTGGCAGACACCGAGGCTCCTGAGCTCCTGCAGAAAGCGCAGCGTGTGCGTCTTCTTCTCGCTTCCCCTTCCTTCCTTTCTCTCCCTTCCGCTCAACACCTCCCGCCCTTCTTGATCTTCTACACGCTCACTCCCTTCCTCATAAAAAACGCCTTCACACAGAGTCAACACGCAGGGGCCTCTCTCCCCTGCGTCTCCCATGAGCAAACGCTTCCGTGGAGAGTCCCCCCACACTGACGCTCCCTTGCTGCATATTCGTAGAGCCACTGCCCATACACATTCCCCCTGCACTTTTGCTGACCTGCTGCTCACTGTCTTGCACTTTTACTCGCCTGCATTCTCACCCACCTGCGTTTCTACTCCTGCATTGTTACTCTCCTGCATTTCACTGTCTTGCACTTGTACTGTCTTGCATTTAGCTATCTTGCATTTTTACTCTACTGATTTTTACTGTCCTGCATTTCACTGTCTTGCACTTGTGCTGTCCTGCATTTTACTGTCTTACACTTGACTGTCCTGCATTTTTACTGTCTTGCATTTTTACTGTCTTGCATTTCACTGTATTGCACTTGACTGTCTTGCATTAAGCTATCTTGCATTTTTACTCTACTGATTTTAACTCTCCTGCATTTTACTGTCCTGCATTTTTACTGTCCTGCATTTCACTCTCTTGCATTTTTACTCTACTGGTTTTTACTCTCCTGCATTTTACTGTCTTGCATTTTTACTGTCCTGCATTTCACTGTCTTGCACTTGTACTGTCCTGCATTTAGCTATCTTGCATTTTTACTCTACTGATTTTTACTCTCCTGCATTTTACTCTCCTGCTTTTTACTGTCTTGCATTTTTACTGTCTTGCTTTTTTACTGTCCTGCATTTTTACTGTCTTGCATTTTTACTGTCCTGCATTTTTACTGTCCTGCACTTGACTGTCCTGCATTTTTACTGTCCTGCATTTCATTGTCTTGCACTTGACTGTCTTGCATTTCTCTGTCTTGCACTTGTACTGTCCTGCATTTAGCTATCTTGCATTTTTACTCTACTGATTTTTACTCTCCTGCATTTTACTGTCTTGCATTTCACTGTCTTGCATTTTTACTGTCTTGCATTTTCACTGTCCTGCATTTCACTGTCTTGCACTTGACTGTCTTGCATTTCTCTGTCGTGCACTTGTACTGTCTTGCATTTAGCTATCTTGCATTTTTACTCTACTGATTTTTACTCTCCTGCATTTTACTGTCTTGCATTTCACTGTCTTGCACTTGACTGTCCTGCATTTTTACTGTCTTGCTTTTCAGCCTCCTGCATTTTTACTGTCTTGCATTATACTTTGTGCGTCTCTGTAGGCCCGTGTAGTCGTTGCAGCGGCAGTCCGTTCAGTCTTCTCAGCACACAATTTGCTCGCATGCCTCAGCACTCCAGCCGACAGGAGGGAGCAACTCCGGCGTGTTTGCTGGGAGCGGCTGATGCAGCAGCAGTCCGGGTGTCTCCACAGACAGTGGCGAAGGCAGCGGGAAGGAGCTGCTCTTCTCGCCGCGGAAGCTGCCACTCAAGTCGCACAAATCGAACAAGTTAAGCTTGCGATCCGGGAAAGGGAGCAAAAAGAAAGGTCTGTCTGCAGGGTGTATCCCCCTTCTGCCCCTTGAAGCAGCTACCGCTTTTTCGTCTCTTGTCGCTCATGCTGTCGGGCCAGTTAGAGGGTGGGGCACCTTGTTGTATATCTACGGATTTGCAGAGAGCAAATCTGGGAAAGAGAGAGGGGCAGAGACTGACAGACAGTCACACTGACAGACTGAAAGGCAGACTGACAGACAGACAGACTGAAAGACAGACAGACACACTGACAAACAGACGGACACACAGACAGACACACTGACAAACAGACAGACACACTGACAGACAAACAGACAGACAGACTGCGAGAGAGTGGTATTGGTCCCATCAGTAGGTGCAAGAGGGACACGAAATTCTCTCCGTGCTTTGTATGTCTGTGTGTGCCCTTTGCACTCGCACCAGAATGCGCCTTTTGAAGGAGAACGACCTCGAGGCTTACACGCTGTTAGTGAAGCAGACAAAGAACGAACGGCTTCAAGAGCTACTGACCGCCACCGAGGAGTTCCTCGAGTCCCTTGGCCGTAAAGTTCAGCTCCAAAAGCTGGAGACTGACAAGCTCGTCGCTCATTCTGGCTTGTACGAGTTTTCGCCCCTGATTTGTGTAGCTGTCACCTCTCTCTCTATTTTCCTCTCTTTCTCTTTTCTCTCTCTTTGCTCTCTCTCTCTCTCTCCTCTCTCTTTGCTTTCTCTTTTCTCTCATTTCTCTCTCTTTCTTTCTCGCCTGCCTGTGCTGTATATAGTTTCTTTAGCTGCTCGATGTCTGCGCGACCTACCGCTGCTGCTGCACAGCATGCTGCGGCTAGGAGCTTTTATTGAGGGGGAGAGGGCTGTCGGTGCGCTGCGCTGCGCAGATCGGGAGACGCAGGAGACACTTCAGCTTCTCTAGA